TGCCAAGAAGAGGGATTGTTTGGTATTTAACCTACCTATCCCTTAATTTCCCAGAAACCATCGAGCCTCAGAGCTTTTCAGTGATGCTCAAGAGCATCCTGCACCTGATGTGTCACCTTCATGATTATTACTATTTCTTGTTTCCTTACTTCTCCTTTATTCCCCACGTTTCATTCAGAATTTCAGTTGGCGTCTAATTTGCGCCCACCACCAGGAGTGTTACTTGCTCTTTGATTTTATTCACATAGGATTATTTGTCTGTTATTTGTTACTTGCGCCAGAGCAGTTTCTTTCTTTCCAGAACTCACAGATAGGCAGCCAGCCTGTTATGTCAAAAACTAGCTCTCTCCCAGATGATCTGTTTAAGATTTTCTGCCAGATGTATAGAGGCAACAGTTCTGTTCTCAATACACTGATAACTTCCTGCTGCTATTTCTCTTTGTTGTTAAATGATATCTTAGTTGGCCTGGGTGGTGGTGGTGGTATTGAGCTGTTTCTTAAACCCTTCTGAGCAAGTGAGTCATGCAGAGCAGACGATAAATATGTGCTCAGTGTGGGCATCCTCTGTGTACTGCTACTGAAGGTAAGTGCTTTGCAAGCATTCAGTAATATTCCAGACATAGATAAAATAAGTAATAGCTTTCTCCACAGCTCAGATGGGGAAATATCAGGCAAACTGGCTACAGTAAAATGTAAAGCAATGGAGGGAGCAACTGTCAGACTAGGGATTAAATGGCAGGAATTTCTGGCTTCTGGTCACATGATGAGCACATCTTCCTATTTCTCTCTGCTTCATTCTCTGATACACAGTTGGGTTTAGGTATTTAAACTGAAAAAAGGAAATTTTTTTTGCTGTATAAATAAAAAAAATAAAATTATATAATTCCTTAATTGTGCAGAAGAATGGGTTGAATCTGCTTCTTTCCATGTGGCTGAGGCCTGAGCTGTGAAGAAACCTATTAAACAGCTGTTATCCTGTTTGGTTTCCATGCCACTGGAGCAGCATTTTGCACAAATCAAATCATCGTGAGTGTGAAAGCAGACTATACTGTAAGCAAAAGCTCTACTATATGGTTGCTAATTCTGTGCAGACTGAGTAGACTGTGAGCTCCATCAGCCCCAAGTGCACCTTTGACCTGCCCTAGCCTTACTCTTGTGTTCTCCCTATCACATTTTGTTAAGAATGGCACCAACTGTGCTTGCTCATCTTTGGCTCACAGCACCTTCCCAAGGTGATGCTGGAATCAGCACGAAAGAGTCTGACATTACAAATCTAATTGTCTCTTAGCAGCGCCACCCGCTCAATGCAGGAAATTTGCTGTTAGTCTTAAGAATAGAATAGAATCACAGAATCAACTGGGCTGGAAAAGACCTCTGAGATCATCAAGTCCAACCTTTGATCCAGCACCACCATGGTTACTAGATTGTGGCACTCAGTGCCACATCCATTCTCATCTTAAAAACCTCCAGGGACGGTTAATCCACCCCTCCTCCACGGGCAGCTCATTCCAATGTCTGATTACTCTCTCTGTAAAAAATTTCTTCCTAATATCCAGCCTAAACTTCCCCTGGCAAAGCTTAAGATCGTGCCCTCTTGTCCTAATTCCTTTAATGCCCAGCTTCGGTCTGCATTCTGTCCACGTCCCAGGGACACACAAGTTGCAAACTCACAAATCACCAGTCAGCGCTGCCCAGTGATTGGCACATTGAGCAACCTGTCACTTGGGCTGGACTGGGATAAATATATGGGGGGTATTTATTGTTATAAATAATTACACATTGCCATAATATTGCTATATTATGTTGATATAATAGACATTTCAGAACTTTTTAAGGGTAATTTTTTTTTGAGGAAAAAGGTGTTAAATTCAATGTCTCATATGACACTTCAGAGAGTTTGCCACCCAGGAAGTATAGCTTAGCTGAGGCTGAAGGTGTAAGATTTTTTTCATTTCTGATATTAAACATGAGGACAGAGAGAATGAGGAATAAGGGTGATATAAAGCAGCAGAGACTAAAGAGTGAGCTTCCTTGCCTTGTACATGTTAAGCGTCAGTGTAACACCAGAAGCACTTGGTTATCCAGGCATATAATGACATTGTTTTGAGTAGCTCTATTGATTTTCATTATTAAAGCTGAGCATATGGAAAAATTGTGCAATGCATATTGAAAACCTTTTGCCTCAACTGGAAGTGGAGAAGTTTCTTGTTAGAGTCCCCAAGAGTGTGTGTTACCAGAAAAACCACAGGTGCTGCAATCCAACCCCAGCAACAGATGATGCCTTTCTTATTGTTCCCCCTCAAGATGCCTCAGGTTTCATTGATACCATGTGACCTGTCAGTCCTCAATCCTTGACGAACCATGTCTCTGCCTTGTCTCACTGACCACTGAAAGACCTGCTTGGCCATCCACAAGCAGCAAACACATTTCGCAAACGCCTCTGAAGGTGAAACCTGCTATTTTGGCACTAGGCTAGCTCAAGACTAATGTGCAGCATTTCTATAACATATATTAGGATTTTTCACTGTGAGGGCGGTGAAGCACTGGCATGGGTGGTGCAGAGAAGTGGTGGATCCCCATCACTGGAAACGTTCAAGGCCAAGGAACTCTGAGCAACCTGGTCCAGTCTCTGCCCACGGCAAGGGAGTTGGAACTAGATGATCTTTAAAGTCCCTTCCAACCCAAACTATTCTGTGATTCTATGATGATTTTAGGCACCTGCCTCACCAGGTCCCTCATGATGAGAGCCGGGCCTTTGCAGAGCGGCCGAGAATAACGTCTCTATACTGCGCAGAGATCCACGGGGAAGCCTTGTCCCTCCGGCCCTGGGAGACTCCCCGGCTGGCCCGCCCCCCTCCGTTCCCCCCCTCACCTTGGGCGCCCGGTTGAAATAGCTGAGCTCCGGGGGCCCTTCCCGTCTGGGCGGGATGAAGCTGAAGGCGGAGAAGGCAGCGAGGGCAGGCCGCCTCCTTGCCGCCGCGATACCCAGAGCCTCCTCTGCCCACCGCGACCCTCCCGAGCCCGGCGGCCACGGGCCGGGGCCGGCCATGCTGCGGAGCGGCCGCCGTCACCCGGCAACGCTCCGCGGGGCAGCGCGCCCGGGCCCGGCCCGCAGCCTGGGTAGCCTGGCAGCAACAGGGCCCCGGTCGCAGCTGGGCTCCGGGGCGCGGGGACTCTGGGCGTTCCGAAGAGCGGTGTTAAGGCTGAAACGTGGATTCCCGGACACTCGGGCGTGGGTTTTGGGCCCGGTTTTGAGCAGCGGCTCCAGCATCACCCGCTCTCAGGCCAGCTCCCCGGTCCCTTGTGTCTTTGGAAGCTGGGGAAGGTGGTTAGAGCAAAGTTTGGCTGAAAGGTACTAGCTTTTTTGCTGAATTAAAAAACAAACAAACAAACAAACAAAAAACTGTTCAATAAAAGCACATCGCAGCATGTAATTTCCACCAGAATGAGGATCCTGAGTCTTGAGGAGCTTGATCTCTTTGCCCAGCAGCTCCTCACCCACTCGGGCACAGGTTTTAACAGGATGGTCAGCCATTTCAGGCAATGCAGTTGGAAAACTCACACACTTGTGCTGGGAGCGCTGAAAGTAAACATCTCCTGTGTGCAAATCTCAGACTGACTGTAAAACCGCTCTGCCCTATCAGCACCTGGGTTCACCCCACAGATACCCTGGTTTAAAACATACATGTAACTATGCCTGAGCTGCTTCTTACTGTGCCTTTTAGGGATCTGTGAAGGGCTTGATTTGGTTTATCTTTGTTTTCTGCAACCACAGTTGTAGAACTATTATGCTGTAGGTACAGCATTACAATTATTTTTGCTACCAGTATCTTTTGGTCAGGACTATCACAAGAGCATTCTTCCAGGCATCTTGAATTTTACTGAACATCCAAAATTTATTTTAAAACCCCCAACATTCAGAGTACCAGAAATCTTCACAACTGATTGCTTCAGTCATCTTGGAGCCGGGCAATAATTCAGGTCTGCAAAAGTCTCATTCCTACTATGTAGCTGCTACTTTCCTATCACTAATCCACCAAATAAGACAGACTGCTGCTTCTTTGCCAGTGCAGAGTGGAGGCATTTATAATCTGCAGACTTCTGTGGTTTGTTTTTTTTTTTAAACATTTGTGACAATTTCCATCTGCTTATCTAATAATGTCCCTCTACCAATTAAGATCCTCTTCCTTCTGTAGCACGAGCCAAATTAGAGCAGTGTAAGCGAGCAGTAGAATTGAAAATCCAACAGCTACCTTACATCATCTTCCTATGCAGAGACCTCTTTGGCACTGTGCAAGTACTTTTTTTGTAGTTTAGTCCAAGCACAAAGAGATAGCAAGCCCATTTATAAAAAGCAGCTCAGCCGAAACTGCAGCTATAAATAGAGCCACAAGAAACTGTTCACCAGAGATATAAACTAAGCTGGCAAGAGCTCTGAAGTCAGATCTGAAAGGTTTCTCTCCCGTTTTCTTCCTACTGTTCTCATGTACCTCATTTTGATTAATGTTATATTGATGGCATTAAATTGAATTACAGCATCTGGATGCAATACAGATTGTTAAAAATATTGTTGGATGCTTGTTATAGATTTGCCATACTCCCCCCTCCATTCAAAATAATTAAAAACTATGTTTTTCACTATCCTTTTACAATCATTTGAAACTTACAAAGGCTTTTTCTGGTCAACTTTAGCAGACTCCCCAGAAGCAGGATATGAATGCCCAGGGGTGTTTGTTCCAATTGCAACCAGACTTTACTAACATCCTACTGTTAAGTGCATGTTCCTGGTATAGAGTAGCATGGAAGATCGGTCTGTTTCCTTAGTAACTTAAATATGAACATGTAAACAATGAAGCAATTTTAATCTGTATGGTGAAAATTATGCATTCAAATACAGCTGAGCTAGGAGACCAAAGAGTTAAAAGTTGCTTCGAATGTGGTGTCTTAAGGCTGAGAAGTTCAATTGCCTGCCTTTCTATTTAGAGAGTAGTAATACCCTTTCAGGTTCCACTGCTATGGTTCCTGAGTTTCAATCATGTTGGTATGTATTTTTATAGCAATTTTTTCACACTTAAGTGTCTCAAAGGCAGGGTCACTGTTCTAAAATGTCAAACTTGCTTATGGAATAACTTTGAAAAAAGAATTCTTAAAAGGAATACATGAAGAAAATAGTAATGGAGGCAGGTAGAGGGGACACAGAAGAGACAACAACAACGGGAATGGAGACAGGATCGACACAGGAGGACAGATAACATATATCTGGACAGGTCATTGATACACAGAAAAAACACAAGTAGCTATTTTCTTATTATAAGCTGAGGTACCTGTTTCAAGCTTATGTCACTTAGAGTTGAGAGCCTTCTGTCAAATTAAGGTTTAGCATTCTATCTCCTATCCTAGCTATTTGACCTCAATATGTATCAGATTACCATATGGTCCTGACCTACAGCTGAGCCACAAAGGAGAGACAGTCTTTGCAAAAATGCTCCATTTAATGGCCCTTGAAAAAGGCTGAATCAAAAATGGCTCAAAAACTCTCCACTTCCATTCCCATAGCTTTGGGCCAAGCCAGTTGTTTCACAGAAGTGCTTATTTCTTCTAGATTCTTATTATTGACTGACTGCTCATCTTAAACAGGAAGGCTCTTCAGAAACATGGGGTCCCTCCCAGAGGAGACAGTCGTCCATGAACTTCTCCAGTGTGGATTCTTCCCTCGGTCTGCCGTTCTTCATGAACTGCCCCAGCGTGGGTCCCTTCCACAGAGTGCAGTCTGTCAGGAACAAGCTGCTCCACCACCTGCAGGTTCACAAGTCCTGTCAGCAAACCTGCTCCAGCATGGGCTGCTCTTGCAGTGTTTTTTTTCCTCTTCTTAAATACTTTATCCCAGAGGTGCTACCACCACTGTTGATGGGCTTAGCTTTGGCCAGGCATCTGGCACTGGCTCATTGTCAGACATGGGGGAAGCTTCTGGCAGCTGCTTAGAGGCCACCTCTGTAGCCCTGTCCCCCCCCCTTGTTACCAAAACCTTGTTACACAAGCCAGTATAGCTGACTGATATCTGCTCCAATTCAGATGAATATTCTGTTCGATAACCCTCTTGGTAACTAGAATAACACACAGTTTTATACATGAGGTGACATTACTTTCATAACAATTGCTATTTGTAACACTGTTTTGGAATGCGAACATGAAAAAGTGTAGTCCAGGAATGTCAACCTTTCAAAATACTCTACTTGCACTTTTTCCTGTCAAAACTGAGATTTTCATGAAGAGCATCTCAATGTCTACAAATAGATTTGAAAAATGCTGCACCAAAAAAATTTCAAACAAATCTTGGCAGAATCTTTGTTTCAAACAGAGCATCCTACAACATAACAGGGTTCATATCGTCATAATTGCAAACATAAATAAAATTCCCTTATGTTGCATTTTGACATATCAGAAACTACGCTGACCTGAATAATTCCTGCCTCTAAATTTGAAAATGCTTAAAATTAACATGTAGTAAACTTTAGGGTGAACCAGTTTCAGTTGATTTATACACTGCTTCTGACAAATCCAAACAAACCTGAATTACTTCAAGAAACAAAAAATACTCTTTTAATTACATGTTTTACTTAAGGCACATATACTCTACATTTGTTTCCTTCTCAGAATCACTCCACTATTTTAGACAAGAAATTAAAAATAAAACTAAAAAGCCCTAAGCTTAAAATTGTTTGGGCCCAACATGTAAAAATGTTAAAGGGTAGTATCTATATCAGCTGAAGGAGAATCTGCTATCTAAAAATGAATAATTAAAGTATGTTCGCACATAACTCCAACCAAAAGGAAAACTACATATCAAAGTACAAGATAATCATATCTTTTAACAGTAAATCTTCTGCTATATAAAGCAGCTTGACAACATAGTGTATTATTTGTCCTGATATGAAGTTCTGAAAGCAAATCAGGACAGACTTGAAACAGTTCTACCTTCACATATGCACAACTGTTGCTTTAGAAACAGATGTGTCTCACTGGAAAAAAGGAAGGTCTGTAGATATTTCACAAAATGGAGAAAATACAAAGGAATGTAAAAAGAACGAAAAATGCTTTTCACATAACATAAGTAAGAGACTACTGTCTCTCAGCAGTAACAGCAGCTAAATAGCATTCATTTCAGGTAATCCCAATTACTTTCATAGTTAATAAAAATACCTGCAAGTCCAATCTTTCTTCTTGACCTTTGGTAGCCATCCATTAACTGGAGCAAAGCACTGACTTTGAAAAAGAATTTCAGCAGTCTTCCCAGGTGTTGCCATTTGAATTTCTTCTTCCCAGACCACAGTGAATCATTCTTACATTGATCTTTTGGCTGCTGCCTCACAGTGTGAAATGCATTTGCATTGTACTTTTGGAAGTCACACTCTGTGGTTCACTAGCAACCTATGAACTATGTCACCAACATGGAAGTTGTAGAACTTGATGAACCTTACTGTGATGTAGAAAATTGGAATGTCAAATACTATTTGTATGATTATCATAAAGTTTTTCAAGTTACACACTGATACATGAGTAGTGTTACATCCAGTTACTGAAATTGCTGCAGGAAGAGGGAGAAAGAGGATACAAGAACTGTGGGAGAATCTAGACAGTAGAAAAATAAAACAGTATAAACAATAGATGTAAAATGCATTGGAAGACGAGGTATTTATTAAATACAAATAACTTCTCGGCACTAAAAAGATAATAATAATGCTCAGTAACTCAAGGCCAGAGGGAGGATGGTATGCACCTTTCTTTGGGCATCATACTGTGTGTATGAAGTATATCTGTTGCCCACTTTCTTTTTCTTTAGCAGGATTTCGCTGCAAGAATCCAAATGAAATTACAAAATGAGAGAAGAGCACCAGTGAAATATGAGTGCTCTGAACATAGGCATTTTCAACATGTTCTTGGAGGGCACATATATATCTTCCTTTATATTTCATTGGACTAGTCAGCTCCCCGCCATTCAGATGTTTTAGAATTTCATAGCTTACAGAAAAAAAAATATTATTTAACTACCATAAAAATCAAAGAAGCAAGTCTG